GGTCACTGCACATTTTGTGATCTGGGACTGTCAGGAAGCTGGTTGCTCCTCCCTACCTATCCTGCCCCACCTCTAATACTACCGTTGGCCTCTTTCTCAGGTAAATTCACTCCTATACCTCAAGAGGCCACGTTGGGGTCCTCAGGGAGCCTCTGTGTCTCTGCAGCAGCCTGGAGCAAGGGGGTCCACCCCACGTTACACTGCAATTGTGTGTTCGCTGGGCAGCAGGGGGCCTGTGTTACACGCACTCCTCCCCTCAGTCTTTCTATAGCTTCACATTTATTTGTTGACCTGAACCGAACAGAGACAGAAGCACGGTTAATATCTACTTTACTATAACAAAAAAGATGATGAGGATTACCTCGGGAGGATCTGGTAGTCACATGGTAAATAATATCTATAAAACAGCGTCTATGGGATATATGGATGCTTCTGTATGGCTCCTATTATCTACCTCACTCCATGGGGATTGCCCCATGTGTGCACGTGTGCACACACGTGTGTTTTAATTGCCCAGGGCATATGTGTTAGCCGGACAGACATAGGGACAGACAAAGCCAGTGGGAGGGAGTACCCTACAGTGGGGTGTAGTCATGCCGCAATCCCTTCGTTCATGTCTCTAACTTATCTGGATTTGGGGCACTCATGCCTATGTACCTGGCATGTTTTTCAATGAGATCTGGCATGTTCCATTTAATTAGAAGATTTTGGTGGCCATGCGGGATTCAAACCATGGTCAGTCATCAATGTTGTGGCATCTTATTCCCTTAACCACTAGGCCATGATCTGGCCCTGGATTCTTCCTCCTTAGTGTATTAATTATCTGTGTCTTCGGCCTACAATGCTTGCTCCCAAGGGCAGGCCTTTTGTCTTGCTTGGTGCTGCATCCCAGCGTTCATTACAATGTCAAGACGCAACCAGAGCCCAAAAGTACTTGCTGGATGAACAAAGCAATTGGCACTCCATTGCCCAGCCCTCTCTCTGTCATGATGAAGGGGGAAATTGAGGCAGTCATCCAAGTCATTCAAACCGCAGATCGCTTTCTTTGGAGGGGTTTACTGTAAAGGGCCTTAGTGCTGTGGGTGGCTTCCTCTAGTTCCCCAGTCGGTTTGGATGTGAGGGGTAAGCCCTGGGCATTCAGACAGTGCATCGTGGAGCTGATGGACGCCAATGAGTAAAACTATATAGTCTTCTCCACTGTCTTTGAAATTTTTATTTAGTTACATTTTTTGCTATTACTATTTACTTTAAGAATTATTTTATTTAGCTTTATTTATTTATTTTGTAATTTGACCAGAGATGGACAGGGCGAGAGTGAGAGAGAGAGAGAGAGAGAGAGAGAGAGCTGCCAGTCCAGAACTCGAACCACAGTTGGCCATGTGGTAATTCAGCAACCTTAACCACCACACTACCTGCTAGCTCCTGTTATTGTTATTATTATTATTATTTTAAGAATTACTCATGTATTTATTATCATTATTTTTCAATTTTGACCAGAGAGAGACAAAGAGAGAAAGTGAACAAGCCGCCAGGTCCGGGACTTGAACTGTGGTCAGCCATGTGGGAGTCCAGCACTTTTAACCATCATGCCACCTGTCGGACCTATATAATTATTTTTAAATTTGATCAGAAAGAAACAGAGAGAGAAAAAGGAGAAGTGAGAAAGCTGGCAGCCAGGTCTGGGACTTGAACCATGGTCAATCATGTGGGAGTCCAATGCCTTAACCACCATGCCACCTGCCAGCCCCTTCTTCTTTACTTTTTAAAAACGTCTTTCTTTCTATAAGTCGGAGAGAAGGCACCCCCACAGGGTCCTTGCCCTATGACACACCCCCAGTCTCGGTCTACATGGATCATGGGCACACTCATGCCTGTGCCCATGCACCTGGCACGCTCAGGAAGGTCCCAGGATAAGTACCTGGAACCCTTCCCATGTGGGGCACACTGTGCTACCACCCTGCCACCTCCTCGGCCCACACCATAGTCTTTATTCTCTCAATTAATTAGGTAATTCCATGAGAAAAAAAAATCAGAAAAATGTTTTGCTTGGGGGACGTGAAGAATTGCTGAAACAAAATTTAAAAATACTTCTTTGGCTCTTGTTTCTCCTAACAGCCTTCAAAGGGTCAGTGCTCAATAGAACTTTCTGGACTTGACCTCAGCCAAGCCAGTTTACAAGGTCAAAGTGCTTGGTTGTAGAATGCAAGCTCCATAGTGAGGTCCTGCTCTCTGCTACCTGACAGCCAGCAGAGGGCCTGGCACACAGTAGGTGTGCATAAATGTGCTGAAGACTGAACGAAAAATGTCTACTGCTGCTACCGTTGTACAGACTGAACTCGAGGCACCACCTCAGGTCATGGAGAGCCGTGGGAGAAATGCCCCCTGCATTTACAACGTAGTGGCTATGTGGCCACTTAATTTGAATATTTCGGTGGCCATTTGTATGCTCAATTAAAAGTTTCCAACCACAATTTTGCTTGTGTGGATACTGTCCCACAATTAACTGCAGTATAAAATACACCTAGTTTTTTTTGGTTATAGAAGAAACAACAACAAATACATACATACCTGTGGAGGAAAGGTGAGGAATTCTAGGGAATTCCAGGAATTCTAGGAGTCAAAAACAAAACAATTAAAATAATTAGGTCATGTGTGCTTTTTTTTTTTTTTTTTTTTTCCTCCTTCTTCTTCTTCTTCTTTAGATCCAAAGACATGTGAGAGCAGATCTAGACTTTGGCAAGAAACTGTGTTTTTTGAGGCTAATGCAAAATCTGGCCAGCTAAATATCTTGATTTGGTGTACTGGTTAGCTATGTCTGTGTAACAAAGCAGCCCAAAATTTAGTGACTTAAACCCATAACCATTTTTTTGGTAGGTCATGTTGTTCTAAATTAAGCCAGATAGGCTGCTCTCCACTGGACTTCCTCACACACCTCTGTCCAAGTGGTCTAGGATGGCCTGGCTCACAGCACTGCCGTCAGCTGACTGTGAGGTCTAGGAGTCCTCAGCTGGAACAGTTTGTTTCTGTTCTCTGTGGTCACTCATCCACTGGCAGGGTTGCCTAACACTCTCTACCTGCCGGTCTCAAGATTCCAAGAGCAACCAGAAGAAAATCTGTGGGCCAGTTGGTGATGTGGTAGTTAAGGTGGTTGGATCCCACATGGCTGACTGTGTGGGTTGAGTACTAGACCCTAGACCCAGTGGCTTGAAAACCACACTGGGCATGTGTACATGAGTGCCCAAAATCCCAAAGGAGGGAGAAATGGAGGAGAAGGAATTGTGGCATGACTATTCCCATGGGAGGATGCTTTCTCACTTTCCCCTCTGTCTCTCTCTCTCTGGTAAACACATGCACCCTCTAGCAAGCTAAATAAAAATAAAGCAAAATAAAATAAAATACAAAACATTGCAAGGTATCTGGAGGACTGGGCTCAGGCCCTGTGTGCCATCCCCACAGCTTGAAGGTAATGCCGATGAAGCACTGTTACTGGGGAAGAGTGGTGTAGGCCGAGGAGGTAATACAGTGAGTCAATCAACTCAATCTGACAGGTGGAAACCACAGTACATGCAAGGAGGAGGGTGCCACTACTAGGGTGGCCAGATTGATAAAGCAAATTGAGCCAGTCATGGCCTGGCGGTTAAGGAATCCAGAGCCCACATAACTGACCATGTGGTTCAAGTCCCAGACCCAGAAGCTTGAAAACACGCTGGTCGTGTGTGCACACATGCCCCAAATCCCGACAGGATAGAGAAACGGAGCAGGGAGTGCAGTGTGACCCTGCCCCAGCGGGGGTGCTTTTTCCTCTGCCTCTCCCTGATAAGCACATATGTCCTCTGGCAAATTAAAATAAATAAAAATGAAGCATATTAGCATATAATATTTGGGTCTTGCTCATATTAAAAAAAGTAGTTGTTGTTTATCTGAAAGTCAAATTTAACTGGTGCCCTGTATATTTTCTGGCAACCTTAATATCAATTTCCTATGCGGTAGAGCCCCACTTTATATCAGGATAACTAAAATTCTATGAATGACAAGTAACAGATGACATACTGAGTGGGGGAGTCAAGTTCAATTCTACATGAAATAATAAAACTCAAGTTCTCCCTTATTTCTTTTCAATTTTTTTTTTGAGAAGTTTTTCACTATAGGGCACGCGCGCTCACCAGACAGACAGAGAGAGACATAGAGACAGAAAGCGAGAAATCACCCCCCCCAGGGGGGATGGCCACGCCACAATCCCTTCTCCTCCATTCTCCTCTCAGGATCTTGGGCACGCACGCACATGCGCCCGGCGTGAGTTTTAAGCCACCGGGTCTGGGATGCGAACCAAGGTCGACTATGTGGGAGTCCAGCGACATAGCCATTACGCTAACTGCTGGTTCCCTCTTTTCAATTTTTTTTTAATTGCCAGAGGGTGTATGTGCTTGCCAGAGACAGCTAAGAGACACAGAGAGAGTGAGGAGAGAGAGAAAGCACCCCTGATGAGGCGTGGTCATGTTTTTATCCCTCCTCTGTCATCATTCCATCCTGTCAAGATTTCAGGCATACATGCACACATTCCCAGTGCATTTTTCAAGATTCTGGGGCCAAGATTTGAACTAGTTGGCCATGTGGGGCCCGGTTCCCTTAACCACTAGGCTAAGGGCAGGCCTTTTCTTTTAATATAAAAAGCAAACACAGATGTTTTCTATCTGCCACCCAGTGGATCACTTGGTACAACAGCCAGTCCCTTTTGAAGCTCCCCAAGGAAAGGACCACTTCCTTTTGATCTTTGCATGTCAAGGGCTAATTGTGGGTTTTTACAGACTCTGCAGCCCTAAGCAAACAGCTTTTCTTTCTTTCTTTCTTTCTTTTTTTTTTTTTTTTTAAATAGAGATTTTTGCTATAGGGTGCCTGCACTCACTAAAGAGACAGAGAGAGAGAAAGCAAGAAATCACCTCCTGGGGGGATGGCCACACCACAATCCCTTCCCCTGCATTGTCCTCTTGGGATTTTGGGTATGCACGCACATGCGCCTGGTGTTTTAAGTTGCTGGGTCTGGGGCTTGAATCGTGGTCAACTATGTAACCATTATACCACCTGCTTGTCCCAAACAAGTATCTTAAAACGGTCTCTCAGTCTTCTCTGTTAATGAAACTACTAATAGGGTCCACCTCATACAGCCCCATGAGGACCACATGTGATAAGGGTATGTCAAATGCCTAGCACAGAGCCAGACTTATAGTTAGCTGTTATTCCGATTGCTGTCATTGTTATTGGTCAACATGGCCAGTCAAACTCAACTGCCAATAAAACTAATACAACTGTTAAAAAAATTTTTTTTGGGGGGGGCAGCATGTGGCATAGTGGTTAGGGTGCTGGACCTCACATGGCCATCTCAGAGGTTTGAGTCCTGGACCCCACAGCCTGTAAAACACACTGTGTGTGTGTGTGTGTGTGTGTGTGTGTGTGTGTGTGTATGTGTGTGTGTGTGTGTGTGTGTGTGTGTGTGTGTGTATATACCCCAATCCCAACAGGATGTAGAAGGGATTGCAGCCTGACCACATTCCAGTGTAAGAGTCTCTCTCTCTCTTTCTCTTTGTCTCTTCCCAGTGAACATATGTGTCCTCTAGCAATTAAAAAAATAAATAAAACAAAAATAAACCTGTGTCCTAGCTTCCTTCCTCTGTGAGCATCAAGTCCACTCTAGTGCGGAGAACGACTCCCTTAAATAGAACAGATATCAAAACACAAGCATTAAAATAGCTGCCAAGGGAGTGTGTGCTTTGGGCCTGGCCCCGGGCTATCATCTATGAAAAGTTTTCTGGGTCTAACCTGCAGTGCGGTGGTTAAGGCAGCGGGATCCCACACGGGTGACTGCATGGCTCAAGTCCCGGACCCAGTGACTTGAGAGACATGTCAGGCATATCATGTGCGTGCATGCCCAAAATCCAAAAAGGAGAAATGGAGGGGAAGCGATTGCAGCAGATCACGTCCATGGGGGGGGTGTGATGTCTTACTTTCTCTCTTTCTCTCTCTCTCTCTCTCTCTCTCCAGTGAGTGCATGCAGCCTCTGGCAATTTTTTCTTTTTTTAAAGAGAGATGTTTGCTATAGGGCATGTGCGCTTGCCAGAGAGACAGAAAGCAAGAAGTCACCTTCCAGGAGTGATGGCATGCTGCAATCCCTTCTCCATTCTCCTCTCAGATATTGGGTGTGCACACACACCATACATGCCCAGCAAGAATTTTAAGCCATGGGGTCAGGGATTTGAACTGTGGTCGACTACATGGGATTCCAGTAATGTAACCATTACGCCATCAGCTCATCCTTCTGGCAAAATTTTTTCTTTCTTTCTTTCTTTTTTTTTTTTTTTTTAAAGACAGATTTTTGCTATAGGGTGAGTGCACTTGCTGGAAAGACAGAGAGACAGAAAGGGAAAAATCACCCCCC